TGACTCCCCTAAGAGCTGGTTGGCCTAGGGGACCCCACTGGGATAACTTCCTTCAACTTCACGTGGTCTCATCCTCTAGCAAGCTAGCTGAGCTGCTTCAAGGGCAGTAACACATTCCAAGAGGCTAAGGGCCGAGGATACAAGTTACAAGGCATTCTGAGGCCTTGCCCAGAAGAATATGACTTCTCCTCCATTCTTTTGGTCAAAGCAAGTCACAAGGTTAGCCTAGATTCAAGAGGTGAGGAAACAGATTCTACTTCTTGCTGAGAGTAGCTGCAAAGCATTTGTGGCCATTTTTAATCTACCACAGCTACATTCTCACAAATAAAAATAATACAACAGAGCTGTTAGGAAATGGCCAAATACAGCATAATGTAACATAATATGCAAGAAGATAATTTCCTGAGAGCCTTTCCCTCTCTTGCAAATATATCTAATATATCTCATATATATTACATATATATGAGACAAGGTCTCACTCTGTCACCCAGGCTGCAGTGTAAGTGGTGCAAATCACAGCTCACTGCAGCCTCAACTTCCCAGGCTCAAGTTATCCTCCCACCTCAGCCTCCTGAGTAGCTGGACTACAGGCATGCCCAGCTAATTTTTGTATTTTTTGCAGATACAGGGTTTCACAATGTTGCCCAGGTTGGTCTCAAACTCCTAGGCTCAAGTGATCCACCTGCCTCAGCCTCTCAAAGTGCTGGGATTACAGGCATGAGCCAGCATGCCCAGCTTATATTCAAAATATTTTTATTATATTTAAAAGCCCTTCCACAGTTCAGGGTCTTGACAAAAAGCTAGAGCAAAAACTTGGGTTCTCTTTTTTTGACCTGAACTTCAAAACATATCATTTCTTACTGCATTAGATTTTCATTAGTTAATATCTCATGAAACCAATTGTTATTAACCTAAAAGTTCATTTTCTGGACTGTTCAGCCTCTTTCTTGCTGTCCATCTTCAAGGCAGTTTTTTTCTTGGGATCATCACTAGAAGTGCTAGTAAAATGACCTGATTCCCCACACAATCAAAACAGGAATTGGTGGGGAAGGGGAAAGAGGGAGAAAAAATAAAAGTATAATTCAGCAAACTGAAAGACAATGGTCAAGTTCTCTTTCGTATAAAGGGTTCCTACTTTAAAAAGCCAGATCTCATATATTAATGGCAAAGGATATGAATAATCATAATTAAAGCTGTCATGTATTGAATGCTTGCTTTATGCAAGTCGCTGGTCACATACCTGCTCTCCTTTAGTTCTGTGGCAGTCTTGGGTAACCATTCTACAAATGGGGAAATTGAGGCTCAGAATTTAAGCAACTTGCCTATGGTCACAGTTATATAGTGTCAGAGCTACGGGATTCAAATCTGAGAAAATACTACTAGTAAACAATGTGGATAAAGATCCAACATAAGAAAGAAATCCAAGTTAAAACATTATTTGAAGTATCATTTATTACCTACCAAATTGCATATTTTTAATGGTAATGCCTAGTGGGTGGCAGGGGGCCAGTGAAACTGGTCCTTGTATTGTAGATAGCATTATAGATGGGTATAATCCTTTTGTGAAGCAATGTGAAAGTACATAAACAAGAGCCACAGAAATGATCATACCCTGTCTTAGTCTATTTTCTGTTGTGTATAACAGAATACCTGACACTGAGTAATTTATAAGAACAAAATTTGTTTAGTAATATTACAGTTCTGGAGGCTGGGAAGTCCAAGGTCAAGGTGGAGCATCTGGTGGAGAACCTTCTTGCTGGCAAGGACTCTCTGCAGAGTTCCAAGGCAATGCAGGACATCACATGGCAAGGGAGCTGGGCATGTTAACAGGCTAGTTCAGGTCTTTCTTCTTCTTATAAAGCCACTAGCCCCACTCCCATGATAGCATGTTAATCCATTGATGAGAGCAGAGCCTTCATGACCTGATCACCTCTTCAGGGCCCTACCTCTCAGTACGTCACATCGAGAATTAAGTTTCAACATGAGCTTTGGAGAGGACAAACATTCAAACTATAGCATACAAATCCACTTTCTGAAATCTATCCTGAGGGAAACAGTCCAAAACTTGGAAAAGACTATATTTATGAACACAGTCATCAAAATGTGATTTAAATAGTAAAAACCTGAAAATAACTGACATGACCAGAAATGTCTGAATGATAAACTAAACCACACCTATTAAACCATTTTATAATAATTAAAGATTGTAAATATGAAGACTGTGAAGCAGTATGAGAATGCACTGGGAAAAACAAAAAAGCAAGATGCAAGCTGGGTTTGGTGGTGCACAGCTATGGTCCCAGCCACTTGGGAGGCTATGGCAAGAGGACAGCTTGAGTCCAGGAGTTCCAGGCCAGCCTGGGAAACATGGTGAAACCCAACTCTTTGAAAGAAAAGAAAAGAAGGCCAGGCATGGTGGCTCATGCCCGTAATCCCAGCGCTTTGGGAGGCCAAGGTGGGTAGATCACTCGAGGTCAGCTGTTTGAGACCAGCCTGACCAATGTAGTGAAACCCCATCTCTACTAAAAATACAAAAATTAGCTGGGTGTGGTGGCAGGCACCTGTAATCCCAGCTACTTGGAAGGCTGAGGTGGGAGAACTACTTGAACCTGGGAGGTAGAGGTTGCAGTGAGCCTAGATCATGGCACTGCACTCCCAGCCTGGGCAACAAAGCAAGACTGTCTCAAAAAAAAAAAAAAAAAAAAAAAAGCAGGATGCAAACTAAATGTAATTACTATATTTACAAATCTGTTAATGGGGGGTAGGAATGAGGAGCTAGCAAGAAATATTCCAGAACATTAAAAGTAGTTATGTTAAGGTGATAAATTTATAATTGCTTTCCTTCACTATTATTGCTATTTTTTGGCAATGTGCTTATATTATTGTTAAAATGTAAAATAATTTCATTTAAAAATAAACCAAAACATTTTTTTCAGAGAATCAAAGGTAGTTGTGTTGAAAGTAACATAATCTGCCCAGTGATGCTGGGACCAGGTCCTTATATCTGGGAGTTAAAAATGTAGCAAAGTTATTTCCATCTCCAGTTCCCAGCTCTTAATCCATAAATCCCAACGATATCACCTCAGTCATTGAACAACTTGAGCTTCTGATCTACAGGAACTGTCAGGCTCCTTTTCAGCTCTCCTAGTATCAAACCAAACCTACTACTCTGAACTCCACCTCCCCTAGACTTTTCCATCACCTCACTATCCTTCCTTTCCTCTACAATTCTGAGGGCTTTTTTTTTTTTTTTTTTTTTTTTTTCCCATGTCATCAGATCCTCAGAGATCAACCTAGTATGGCAGGAATATCTGAAGGCATTTTTGTGAGAGTCAGTCGTAATGTTTAACCTTGTTCCTGAGCATGTTCTGGAAACAAAGCATGTTTAGACAATGACAACATCTCTTTTTCCCAAACTTAAAAAGTGTATATTTCAAACTGAAAGCCTTTTCTGGATAATTCTTTTAACTTTATGTTAAAACAAGAGCCAAGCCTCATGGCCTATGTTTTTTAGAATATTCAAACATTTAAAATAAGAAATTGAATCCAGTTGGAAAAAATTCCACTGGAAAGAGTAATCTAGTTGATTCTGCAGCTGGGCTCAGTTCAGCTATAAATTCAAAAGCTAGTCCTGGGTAAGTGAAATAATTTAAGTAGTATAGTTGAATTACCTCTGTAGAACATCTGGGCAAAACTGTGAGATGTTAGAACCCTTGGCAGAATATTTCAGAGTGGGACTTGTGTAGTCTCTGTGGCTTCTGCTTCTCTTTCTTCCCTTGCTTCCAAATATCTGTCTCACCTACTTGTTCCTTTCCAGAACAGGTTACTCCATCTTTTTACATCCAAACCATCAGTGATGTCCAAGTCCTTTCTTATAGTAATACGATCCTGTCTGCAGATTAACTTCAGAGGATATATATTTTGTAGTTTTTTCAACATGTAATGTTATTAAACATATGTTTTCAAATTGACAATGCCTTAGAGAGGATTTTAAATTTAAAGCCAAATCCCATCTCTATAGCATTTCATAAGTTGCTCATATTGGTGTGACAGGTATTACCAAAACTTTTGATGAAGTTTCCTATCCAAACCAGAGGACTCTTAAATGAAAATAACAGCAAGATCACGACTTTGTTTTTGGTGGGGGTCGGGCACAGGGTCTCGCAGTGTCACCTAGTGCAGTGGCATGATCTTGGCTCACTGCAGCATTCACCTTTGAGGCTTAAGCCATCCCCCCACCTCAGCCTCCCAAGTAGCTGGGACTACAGGCACGAGCCACCATGCCCAGCTAATTTTTGTATTTTTGGGAGTTTCACCATGTGATCTCGAACTGGGCTCAAGCAGTCTGGCTGCCTCAGTCTACCAAAGTGCTGGGATTACATGCATGAGCCACTGTGCCTTGCTAAGATCACAATTTCTATTTGTGCTAGTTGAGGCAGATATTTTACTGTTCTGACCTTAGTTGGAAACAGTTACTAACAACTCACTTGAATTGCAGGCCCATCATGTGACAAGCTGGGTAAAAGAGAATTTGCAAGTGTTCTGATTTTGTTATTCTATTTGTTTTAAATTGAATGTTTGTCCTCCAGAAATTCTTATGTTGAAACCCCAACTTCCACTGCAACAGTAATACAAAGTGGGGCCTCTGGGAGTAAATAGGTTTAGAAGAGATCATAAGGGTAGAGCTCCCATGATGGGATTACGACTGTATCAGAAGAGAGAGACTAGAGCTGTCTCTCTTTCTCTCTGCTATGTGAGAAGAGAGCGAGAATGCAGGCATCTGCCAACAAGGAGGGACTTCCCAAGATACCAGTTGAAGGTACCTCTATCTTTATCTTGATCTTAGACTTCCCAGCCCCTAGAACTGTGAGAAATACATGTTTGATGTTTAAGCCACACAGTCTGTGGTACTTTATTATAGTGGCCCACAGTGACTAAGGCACTGTTCTTCCCTGAGATAGTGTTTGAATAACCAGTACTTACTTTGGCTCTGTGTACAGATTACTGACTCAGCGATGGAGATGTTATCGGCAAAATGCCATTACCTGCACATTTTGGATATCTCTGGTTGTGTCTTGCTTACTAATCAAATCCTTGAGGACCTTCAGATAGGCTGTAAACAACTCCGGATCCTTAAGATGCAATACTGCACAAATATTTCCAAGTAAGTACGTACCTGACTATGATAAACTTTGAGACTACTTTCTGAGAAAACGTAGTATATGGCTATGATGTTCATATATATAGTGGCTTTCAGTGTTAGAAAGTTTCATTTCATTTTATTTTTTGCCTAATTGAAGCAGACGCTGTGAGTTGTTCTAAAGTGGCCTTTGTGGTTTCCTATCCCTTTTCCAGTAGGCCTTTGACTTTAAGCATCTTCCCTTCCTTGACCAATCAGGTGTCCAAAGCTTTAACTCTAGCTCTTCCTCTGTTCATTTCTCAAAATACAGTCCATTCAGTTAATCTCCCCTAGGGGATTAAGAGAATAATCTGATTAAACCAGCTCACAAGTTTTTGCCTTTTGACTGAGGGCAAAAATATGCAAGTATTTTAACTGACCTGATGAAATAACATATGAAGTGCTTAAAATAAGAATCCTTGACCTTTCCCTGACATGGAAGGTAAGGTTCAATTGTGCAGGTGTGAAAAATACTAAGAATTAATATTATCAAAGTATAACGTGCACAATGTGGCCCAGGCATGTAGATTTCACAGAGGAACTTTCTTAATTAAGTAGCTGTGGTATGAGCTAAACCATGAGCCCCTGGTTACTTGAGGCCTGAGAAAGAAAATGGTTTCTATCCAAGGAAGTATGTGTTAAAATGAAATGGAAAAAAGAAAGAAAAATTACTTGTAAAATAGCCATTCCCACTGGGCCCATGCCTGCAGAAGGAGGGCAGCCAGCTAGAGCTGGATCAGAGAGAAGGGGGTACGTCCTTGAAAATTTTTGAGGAGGGGTAGAAACTCAACTTTTCCTGATAGGTCTAGAGATAACTCTGATATGAATACTATTAACCTCACTGAAAGAACATACCATGAAATCAGGTCCTAGGAGTCTCTGCCAAACTCGTCAGATTATTAACAGCCAACTTTGGGCAAGACGTCAGTGAATGAATAATATGTTACTCAAATGAACTTAGCTTCTAATCTTTTGATTGTATTTTGCCAATCACTATTTATAAAAACTAATATTATTGAACTTCTAATAAGATTCTGGAATGAATGGAGACTTTCTGGCAAGGGTCTCTTTGAACCTAATCGTGGTGTGATGCTATGGTTTGAATGTGTTCCCCAAGTTCACGTGTTGAAAATTAATCCTCAGTGCAACATTGTTGAGAGGTGTGACCTTCAAGAGTTGATTAGGAGATGAATGCCATTATCGTGGAAGTGAGTTAGTTATCACGGGAGTGGGTTCCTGACAAAAGGATGAGTTAGGGCCCCTTCTCTCCTGCCATGGGATGATGTAACAAGAAGGCCCCTGCCAGATGCTGGCACCTGATATTGGACTTCCAGCCTCTATAACTATGAGAAATAAATTTCTTTATAAATTACCCAGTCTGTAGTATTCTGTTATAGCAACATATGGGATGTTGAAGTATGATTAATCTAGTGACTGGTCAAGAAGACCCAGGATATCCAGTAACTCTATATCCTGCCTTTAACTGCTCAGTTTTCTTGCTAGGTCTCTAGATTTAAAAAATATGTATGGGAAAAAAAAAAGGCATAGTAAGACCTCGTTACTAGCTGGACTTTGTCCCAAAACCCTAATGAAGAACTCTAATAAACCAGCTATAGCTATGAAAAATTCCATTGTCTAAGCCAAGACAGCCAAAAGGCCTATTTTATCTTCTACAATCAAGCTTGGCTATCCTTTTCCACAAGAAGCAGGCAGAGACTTGGCCCTAATGCTTAGAAAGGGGCTGGTTTGGTGTGTGCAACTCATTGTCTGAAGAGGCCACATCACCACTTTTTAGTCTCCCTGAAAGTTCCACCCTTGCTTAGCTCTGTCAGGAAAGAAGCCTATAATCCCTTGATTCCATCTTAGTCTAGCAATGGAGAGTCTTCACTGCAGAGTGGCTTGGAGAGTCCCAGTGTTTAAACTAGTAATGCTCCAGAAACATCTGTCTTTATGTGTCCAACATCTGTCCAACATCTAGGAGAGGGTGCTACTTGTCAGTTAGGGGCTTCCTGAAATACCCTGGCCTCAAAATTTTTGATTAGAGAAGTGGTAAGGCCTAGCTACATGCAGCTGTTTGGGATAGCTCTAGGGGCTCTCTTACAGAGCAGCTTTCTTTTGCATTTAGATCCTTTGGTGGAGTTGGAAATGCAGAGTGTATGTAGACCCTTCAAAACTCAAGCCCTTGATGATCTCTAATCCCTTACCTATGCTCAGTCTCTAAGCAGGGCCAGTGTGGCTCCCTCAACTGCAGAGGCTTTGTCTTGTCTGGGTGAAACAGAACCTTTGGCAGGTGGGATAAAGGAGATTTTCCTGGCTTGGGAAGAAGCTCAATGACTTTGAATCACAAAGCAATGCACTCCACATGCTTGATTCCATTTTGACCATGAAAACAAGATATGATGCATCCCTTAAAATCCAATTACAGCCATCAGAAGAGACTGTTTTATATATAAATTCCCTCATACTCAATGGAATCTGAAACCACTGCACCAGCTTTGGAAATCAAAGAGGTCTGCTCAGCTCACCTTTTTTGAACCAGAGGAGCAGCAAACTTTTGGTCCATGAGCAAATTGACTCTAGCTCTTTTGCAGAGAGTTTCCAGCAAAAGATACAGCTGGCATTCTAAGCAACCCCAGAGTCAGAAGGGTTTCCAGGAAGTGACCCCAGAAGCGCCATGTGGATGCAAGATAAAGACTCCTTTATTTCAAGGAGGAATAAGTAACAACTATGATCAGAAAACATGACAAAAAAATCTAGTTGTTTGTATCTGAAGCAGTTGTGACAGCTAGCCATTCAACTTATGGCCCTCTGTGGGGAAAGGCAATAGGGTAAAAGGAGCAGGAGAGAGGAAGAAAGACTTTCACAATGGCCCCTACAACCCAGGAGGGCCTGAACCACAGAGAACCTGAAGAATCACTAATTATATAGTTAACAAAAAGGCTAACCCAAGAACAGAAAACCAAATTCTACATGTTCTCACTTATAAGTGGGAACTAAATGGTGACAGTGCATAGACATATGGGTGGGAACAACACTCACTGGGGCCTGTCAGAGGGTGGATGGTAGGGGGAGAATCAGGAAGAATAACTAGCAGATACTGGGCTTAATACCTGGGTGACGGAATGATCTGTGCAGCAAACCCCTATGGCCCACGTTTACCTATGTAACCTGTATATCTTGTACATGTACTCCTGAACCTAAAATAAAAGTTGGAAATAATTTTTTCTAAAAAGTAAAGGGACCTTTCTGATATTTTTGTGTCTGGAGCCAAAAAACTTCCATTTTAGAGAAATCATAGAGAAAGTCTTAGTGGCCTTTAGAGCCCCAAATAACAGTATGAAGATTCCTTGAAGGCCTTCTTTAGCAGTTGCTAGAAGGGTCAACTCAGGCAGTTCCTACTGCTCAGGCATTCTAGGAGATCCGTGTTGCTAAAAAAATAAAACTCTTTTCAGAGTTCTCTCCAGCTCATGGAAAGGTTCAAACCCTTTTGATTTGGAGCTGTTGACTTTTATTATCGGTATGAACAAGTAATGTTATTTAACAATTATTATTTGCCACATACTGTGATAAATCCTATTTTACATACATAATCCTTACAAATACCCTTTATCATAAAAATGGATAAGGAAACTGGTTGAAACAGGTTCAATAAGGTGTCCACATTTACACAAATAAGGAGAGCCATACTTTGTACCTAGGTCTTAATCACACTGTGCTGCTCTTTGCCTTTAGATTACATTCTCAAGCTTTTTAAAAGCTCTGACATTCAAGGGATGTGATTGGTAAGGGTAGACACGTGCTCTGTTATGCCTATCTGATGCACAATAAGAGAGGCTGTGGATTACGAGCAGTCCGTGGTGGTGGCTCCAACATTCCCCCCTCCTTTTTTTTGCCTACTCAAGAGATTAGAAGGAAAGGTGAGTAAGGACACATAATGTTACTACAGGGCTAACCCAGAATCTCTTTTAATTTATAAAAAACAAGTCACTAACAAACTTCAGTGCGGTGTTATTATTAACCACCTAATATGATACATTACAACTGTGACATATAAGGTTTGAAAATCACTGTTCTATACTGATCCAAAGAAACCTCTCTCACCAGGTTAAATCAGTAATGATGACTAACCATTGCAGCAGACTGGTTGAATTCCCAAATCATTTCATACAAGGTCTCACAGTCACGCAGGCCAAAACAGGATGGAATGCAGTCAAAGGATTCCAAATGTGCTGTATGGAATTTAGAGCACACAGTGGTTCCTAAGAATACATTTTTTTTTCAGTATTTCCTAGCTCCTCTGTGCTGATCATACTACAGCATCAAGCTATTAAGAGAGAAAGGGGAGGGGCAGAAGAGAGAGAGAGAGAGATGTTTCTGGCAGAAATATAGTTTCTACATTTTTTTCTTATTTATTTATTATTGTACTTTAGATTCTGGAGTACAGGTGCAGATCATGAAGGATTGTTGCAAAGGTACATACATGGCAAAGTGGTTTGCTGCCTTCATCCCCCCCATCACCTATATCTGGTATTTCTCTCCTCATTATCCCTCCCCACCCTCCCCACCCCCTGCTGTCCCTCCCATAGCCCCCTCCACTGACTGCAGTATGTGATGCTCCCCTCCCTGTGTCCATGTGTTCTCATTGTTCAACACTCGCTTTTGAGTGATGACGTGCAGTGTTTGGTTTTCTGTTCTTGTGTCAGTTTGCTGAGAATGATGGTTTCCAGATTCATCCACATCCCTATAAAGGACACAAACTCATCATTTTTTATGGCTGCATAGTATTCCATGATGTATATGTGCCACATTTTCTTTACCTAGTCTATCAATGATGGACATTTGGGTTGGTTCCAGGTCTTTGCTATTGTAAACAGTGCCACAATGAGCATATGTGTGCATGTGTCTTTATAATAGAACAATTTATAATCCTTTGGGTATATACCCAGTAATAGGATTGCTGGGTCAAATGATATTTCTATTTCTAG